AGAGCAAGATAGGGAGTCTGAGTCCAGTAAGCTTCTTTGAACACAAACTTTAATTACTTGAGAGGCAGGTTACCTTTAGAGCTAACGATATAACAACAACATGACAACGACTAACTTATCTCAATGTTCACTCGTGTAACTCGAGAACTAGATTGGAATGTACGAGGTGATTACATGATCAGTCCAGAAAGTTACATAACATTCGAGGGTTACATAACTCTCAAGAGTTACATAAGAAAGATCAGCTGATCGGCATTCAAGAACGGTCTTGTCGAAGAAAAGCAAATGTTGATTTCCGAAAGGTTTTACATATCATAACAACTATAAAAAAGATATGAACATTTTTGAGATAAAATACAAGATTTGATAGGAAATGAAATAAATTTGATAATTAATCAGTGAATATTTTGTCAAATTTTTCAGAATACTTTTCTGCTGATGGACACATATCAACTATCAATTCATCGATTACTTTGACATTATTTTAAAATACATGCTCATCGAATTCTAAGCCTCTTAAATAAGATCTTAACTCAGTTAATATCTTTTGGTATGAGGTGATGGCGAGTTTGCACATTTCAATCTTTTTTTCGTAATTTTTCAACTCTATAAATGTCTTTAGAATGATCCCTGGACAAGATACTGCTCCTAGTATTATTGGGTTTAAAGTGATTCCTCTTGTTACTGTACCAGCGACTACTAATCCAACGGAAGTTACCTGGCCTGCGATATGTTTTCTGTTTAGGTTTTTATGCATGGCTCTAAATGTCTAATAGTTTTTATGATAAAATTTGTACAACTTTTTTATTTCAGTTATTTTGTCTTCATCTATTTCTTTACAAACATGGTTCAAGCTGAAAATACTTTTTCTTCTACTCATATGATTATCAATTATATTAATCTACTTTGGCTATAATGATGTAACTATTATCTCCTCCTGTGAAAACAGTTCCACCTGTTAATGTCACTGTATTTGAACTGAAATCAAGAGTAGCGTATGCAACGGGTGATTGTAAAGTTAAAGTTGTATATCGTTGAGCATAAAACATTATTGTACCATTGAAACTCACTGGATTATTGAAACCTAAGTTATAAGTAGGTGCTGTTAAATCAGCAATTGTGTATCTTTTATTAAGAACGAATGTCATGAAGTTGTTTAACGAGCTTTTAATTTCATCAACATATGTTAATGAGTATAATCCTGAAACATTTATGATAAGTTTAGTGCGATCTTAACTGTTTACTGTAAAATCGATATTATCACCTTGAACCACTTTAGATGTATGGTCATCTGTACCATTTACATAAAAATTGAATGATTGAATTTGAATTATATTCCGTGCGTCGTCACCTTTTCTTCTTTCATTTCTAGCAATGACTTCTAATTTACCTCTTTACCATACCTTTCTTGTTGCATAATCTATACATTGCTTTGTTGCTGGATTATAGTTATCAATTGGATCTTCAACATAAAGTTTTGTAATAAAATAAACTCTACTTTGAACAATGTAATATATTGTGTCCCAAAAATCTTTTATTGGTAAGTAATTAAAGTATCCTTTTGTACCATAAACAATCCCCCAAATATCTCGTCGAGAGTCATATGATTGACTTGATTTGTCTTTCATAACAACATCAACCATAAAATAATTAGGTGATGCGTTATTCCATTATGACATATGAAGAATGCTTCTTATGAGATAGAATAAATATATGAAAATCATATATAAATATATGATTTTCATATATTTATTCTATCTCATTTATCACTTTCACGGGTTCATTACGAATCAACTTAACGGCCTGCTCTCAGTTGGCTTGTTAGCTCAATTGGTAGAGCGCTGCACTAGTATCGCAGAGGTCAGTGGTTCGAGTCCCGTACAGGCCTGATTTTTTTCAGGTCTGATTTTCGCTATTGCTTAAATAGCGCTATCTACTGCGAGGATCGTGCATCATACGTAATGCTTCTTATATGATTTGAATATCTATTAGTTAATTGTCTTAAAATTGTCTCAATAGAGCTTGTGGTACTTATAGTAACTGTATTTGGATCAGTCTTACTTTATTTCCACTCAATAGCAATTGTATATTCTGATCTCTCAGCTTCATATATATTAATTCCAAAACGACTTGAATAATAACCTTTTTCAATGTCTAACTCAAGACTGAATCGTTTTACACGGTTGTTGATTTCATGAAAGGTTCCGTCACCACTAAGTTTTCTACCACTGATATCGTCTTCATCACTAAATTTACCATCATCTTTCATTATATAATCTAAATTATTTTTATATCTACTTCCAATACCGCGGGCAATGTTGTCATCAATGTATTTTTTATAATTCGTTCTTATAAAAGCATTGTTGTCGCTTATTGTCTTATTGACATAATTACATTAGATGCATTGAAGCTTTCTTTCTAGTAATCCATTTGAATAACTCATTAGACATATTATCTAGTTTATATTTGCTCATTAACGTTCTTTGAACTGAATTTTCTTGGCTTATCAATATATAAAAATGAAAAAGGTTCTTGCGTTG